ACTTTTCAACAGTTATGTTGCATACAATGCAACTACTGTTGTAAAAGTAGTGAGAATATTTTATTACTTCAGTTTTTTGTTAAAATGTATTAGGATATTTACAGAAAGGATAAACAACAAAAATCTTGAAGAGGGATTTATTCAACCCAGCTTTACACTGCTGTATAAAAAGAATAATTGTGTGGTTTACACATATACCATGTAAATTACTATGGAAACCAGATGTAGCCTACACTACAAGGTGCCTTGTAACTCATCTCTGCTGAGCAATAAACCSCCCTCTCCTTCTTGGCAAAACTTTGAGCAGCTTTACTGCTGTTTTCTATCAGCAGATGCAACAGATGGCTGGCACATGCCTGCTTTACTAAGTGAAGTGGGATCTCTACAGCATTACTTTGATCCCCGGTGGCATGTCTACAACACTGAGACGCCAAATACCACAACCGAAGAGAATCTAAATATTAAAGGTTTGGAGCTGTGCTTTCAATATGAGAACCCCCTGTCTAAAAATCATGCTCACAGTATGTAAACATCTTCACATTGCCCATCGAACTTTTGGTATAGAGGTCAGGAAAGAAAGTATTTCTTCCGTTTGGCGACACGAAACCACAGTGCAGGTACTACTGTAAATCTCAAGAGTGTGAGTTTATGCAATTGCATTAACCAAACTTCCAAAACAGCCATAGTGAACTGTGCACATGAGACACTATTTTAAAGTTGAAGAGTCCCACTATGTCACTGGGCATAAATAAGAGCTAAGAAAAGTTCAGCAGTTTCTTTGAAGAAGTGTTTGTTTTGCAATTCACCGTCTTTTGTTTTCTTTTAGTCTATCAGGGAAAGAGTGATGTTTGAAAGGAGCTCCCTATTGAAATAATAATGCCTTAAAATGAGTGGTCTTACTAGTTTTTCTCAAGACAAGGAAATATAAAGCTCCTAGCATAGCTGGGACCACCAGGCTATGTCTCAGCAATATAGGGCAATTCCAAAGAGTGCAGTGAAGCTACTTGGGATTTGAGATTGCTGAGATCAGAACTCACCAAGAGCCGTGATTTTATACCCTTTTCTAACCTTTACAACACAGAAACAACACTAGAAACTGCCCTGATAACAGACATTCCCCAGCTCTCCCGAGGAGAYGTGTGTCTTTCTGCTCTCCTCACTCTTGGCAATACCTCTCTGATCTGCAGCAACCCAGCCCTTCCAGTAGGACAGGTACAACTGCTTCTGATATAGGCCCTGAGAGCTACGCACTGAGATGTCCCCTTACCTCCCGAGAGTCCATCTTGTCCTATGACCAGAAGCCCCCTTAGACCACGGCATTGACCTCGTGCACATGAGTCCCAGGACAGGACTTCTGTCGTGCCACCAAAAGGCATGCATCCTGCAGCACACCACTGCTCTATCTTTGCTATATATAATGTGCATGCCATATTAACAAACCCGTCATATAGATCGATTCCCACTCACACACCAGCACACARCTGAGTATCCAGATGTCACGCAATGGGCTCACGTTTGACCACACAGCAGAACAGGGATCATGCCCAAGATTGATGCAGACCACAAATTCCTGCTTACTTTTTGTTTCCTTTTTTTCATGTCCCATCTATGAAATCAACCTGACTGGCTGCTCTATCACAGAATTATAAGTATTAGTTTCCTGTGCTCTGATTARTCATTTTTCTTTGTGATAAAGTTCYTCCCACCRTACTCAGATGTGCACTTAAATTTTATTGCTAACAGAAGTCCCTCTGAAAGTTAATTGTGCATACTGATGTTTGTGGATTTGGAGTTCGAATACTGGTCGTATGTTCTTAAGCACTGCAGAAATGATGTTATCATGTTATCTTTGCAATCTTTGCTGCTTTCCACTGGTGAAACAGCATTTAGTAGTGAGGTAGCACTAGCTGGCATAACAGGATCTATTCTTCTCCCATTGGGAAGTCTATGAGCGCAGCCTTCCCCACCTYGGCATCCAGAGGGCAAGACTCCCCAAACTCATTATCTTTTTCCCAAAACACATCCATCCAGAATGAGAGCATGAAGCAACACAAGTGACTTCCAGTGTTTACACAGATACATACTATGTCCTATTACATTGGCACTGGCTGTTATTTTAAACTTTGCAAACATGGAAGAATCTCTACAGCTGCCAGTTTACCCAGATGATTTTTTTTCTAAACAAAYACAACAGTCTTGTCCTGCAGTATCTTAGTGTTCTCAACACTCGTGGCTCATCTTGACTTCACCTGGAGAAGTGGCTATTCAGCACCTCCAGAGTCCTAAATTTTGATTTTCCCCTAATTTGTACTAACGGATTAGGGACTAAAAGCAACTAATAGTTTTCCTTGGTTCATCTTTTCGATTGAAAATGGTTTTAAGTTTTCCTTTACCATACAAAAAACTYGGCATGCATAATGGATCCAGGACACACAGGTCACAATATTAGGAATGTAACTTCCTAATAGATGCAAAGTAGATGCAAACTACCCACAGGATATTTATATCTGCTTTGCACAAGTGCCTGGCAGGAGAAACAACCTTGCATTGCTGGAGATCCTGCAACAGCGTGGCTGGGAGCTGTGCATTGATGTAGGCAAGATCTCCTGTATTCATTCAGAAGCAGTCTGATATCTGCAGATATCCACAAAGGGTCTGTTCTGCCAGGGGCTGTGGCAAACACTATTGCCACTGCCTCAAACTTTGGAGCCCCTGGAAAATATCTTCCGATCTCTTTGGTGAGATACAAGGGTAAGAGGGTTACAAAACTTGAAATACAAGGTGCTCACAAAAGAAATGGTTTCAGTTTTAGCAGAAAGAAGACAACAGCATGGTAGTTAACAGCTGTCTGACAGAATGTAATTTACTACCTTAATCCCTGGGTGCTTTTCTTGTATCTATCAAAGAATGCTACAATTTATTTCCATTTCCATTCCTTCTTCATTCCTGCCTGTCCTTTCTTTTTTCCTTTCCCCTTCCCTTCCTCATTCTCCTTCCCCTTTCCTTTCTCCCTTGCCTTTTACTTTTCTTCTCCCTTGCCTTGCCTTGCCTTGCCTTTCCCTCCCCTGCTTCTTTTTTCCTTTCCCTTTGCCTTGACCTTTTTTCTTTCCCCTTCCTTTGCCTTTCCTGACTTAGGAAATTCCCCAGACAAAAGTACTCTGCCAGAATAAAGGTAGCAAATATTTAGTATATATTTTGTATTTCCCTGGATGTGTCAGTGGAAACTTCTAAAGAAGTATATTTAGAATCAAAACAGAACACTGGAAAAACATTTTAACACCTATATAAAGTCTTTTTCCCTTGCCTCACAAAATATTGGAAATACTGGAGAAACTGAGTTCTATTGCCATAAATAACTTTTACCATACTCTGTTTATAACGCTACCCCTTCCCATTGGGGTGTGTCAATAACTGCTGCTGCCCTGTGGACTACAGAAATACTAATGTCTGCTTCTATCCTTTCTCCTCAGGTAACAGGTTGGGTGGCACAGAGACCGTGAGTGCCCTGGGTTCCACAGAGGACTGTGGATAACAGTACTCAAACACCTCCAAGCAAGGCAAAAAAMCAACAGTACTATTTGTGCTTCCAAAAAGCAGACATTTCCTCTAGGATGTTAACCATGCTAGTTTTTTTTCCAGGTCCTACAACACCACAGGGTTGAGACACTTTCTGTTGCATAGCCTGCTGGTTGAAATCCCTGTGTTCATCTGCACATCAGCATTAGCATTCAAATATTCACAGCTATAAGACCAGAGAGCCAAAGCTAATAAGACTGTACACATGGAGGTAGTTGTAAGGGGTAGCTAGATGGGACTATAAATGAAGGGTCTCTTAGTTTCAACACTTKCTTGACTTGTAAATATCTGAAAGTTGACACTGTTCTGGGAACAGAGCAGTGTGGTGATGTAACTTCAACCATCTCCATATTTCACTTGTTAAGAAAGATCTGTGTAACAGGAGTTAGTAACTTAGGAAAGAGGAGAAGGAATTATTGGTTAAGCCACTCTGGCCCCATTCAGAAGGGGCTCTGTCCCACAGGCTGCACCAAGGGCAGCAAGCACTGATGTTGTCTTTGAGCCTGTGGCTCTTCCCATTGAAATCAGTGTTACAGTCATCATTTGCTAATGAACTCTCTTGTAGGCTGCAAAAGAGGGAGAACGGGATAATACCAAGAAGGATAAGAGGTGTAGGGTTCAGGCTAACTTCTCGAGCTTGCTTTGCAAAAAGAAGTACTTTTGTTTTTGCCAGGGATGGCAACAGGAGATAGAGGCACAGGGCAAGAAATACAGTGCTGAAACACACTTACTATTTACAAAGTTATTTACATGTGAGTCCTTGATGTATGATGCTGTTTTCTCTGTAAAATGGGATTGGAGCTTGAGTGACTTTGTACAAGTCGTTTAGACTCTGTGAGTAAGTTTTCTGTCTCTGTATTCCCTACTGCCTTTAAAAGAAGAAGAAAGACATTTTGGAGACTCAAAGGCATTATGAGGATGGAAAAAAATTACAAGGCTCTCTGACAGCAACAACTTAAAGGCAAACAAATCCTGTGGACGCAAAGAGTATCTTTAAACAACCAGCAACACAACTAAATCAGTGAAGTTGCAATGAGCTGAACTGTACAGTTAATTTTCATTGAATATCTGAAGGCATATAGTTTCATGTTCATCAAGCTATTTATTTTATAAGATCAACGTGGAACATTAAAAAAAGAAGATTTTAATCTATTTTTGTTTTTTATGTCACAATGAGTTTTTTGTTTCTGTAGTCCTGATACCTTACACTAAGGTGCTACAGCCTTATGCAGATTTAACACATGCTATCGGTGTGTCAAGCCCTGTGCCTTTTTTTTCCCCTAAAACACCCCGTGCACCCTTATCTTTTCAGCGGGAGAGCTCAAAGAGAAGGCAAGAGCTCAAAGAGAAGGGAAATCCCGGAGTGCATCCCCTCCAGATGCCACCGGGCACAGTTCCCCGCGCTCCGCGGCGCGGCCACCTACCCGTCCCGTCGCCAGCCAGGTGAAATTCATGGCYGGGATGCTCACGGGGATGGCGGGCATCCTCTGCTGCGCCTTCCTGAAGTCGTGCGTGAAGGGGGCCATCCTGCCCTCGGACACGATCAGGATGTCCTCCTCGAAGCCTGCGGGGGCAAAGGCGAGCCCGTGGGCGCGGGGCCGGCCGYGCCGGGCCGYGCCGCGCCGCGTGGGGACCCCGCTTACCGATGAGCAGCCGCGCCTGCGGCGCCCCGACCCACACGTAGAGCGTGTCGGGCTGCGCGCGCGGAGCGGCGCGCACGGCGCACAGGCTGAGCGCGCCGCAGAGCAGCGCCGCGCGCAGCGCCCACGCGGCACCCATGCTGCGCTGCCCGTGCTGTGCGGCCCACGCTGTGCAGCCCACGCTGTGCAGCCCACGCTGTGCTGCCCACCCTGCGCTGCCCGCGCTGCGCCGGAGCCGCGGAGAGGGCGGCGGGAGGGCCCACGCGGAGCGGCGGCCGGCGCGCAGCGCTGGGGCGCGTGTGCGGCGAGCGAGCCCCGCGAGCGGGGAGCGCGTGCCTGAGGAGGCTGCACCGCCTGCCCGGCAGCCTGCGCAGCGCAGCGCCGCGCGCTGTCACCCCCACAGGMAAGAAGGTTCTCCTCGCTGCGTGGAAAACTGCCTGGCCTCTTGGCACCCTCCCTTGAGGTGTTTGCACACGCTCATCAGATCCTCTCTCAGCCTGCTCTTCTCCAGGCTAACCCCACCAGCTCTCTCAGGCTCTCCTCATAGCAGAGATGCTCCAGTCCYCTCATCATCTCCATAGCCCCATGCTGCACCCTCTYCATAGCTCCATGTCTCCCTTGTGCTGGGAAGCCCAGCGTTGGGCACAGCACTCCACATGTGGCCTCACCAGGGCTGAGCAGAGGGGCAGGATCCCCTCCCTCGACCTGCTGGCAACGCTCTTCCCAATGCACCCCAGGAGACCACTGGCCTCCTTGGCCCCAAGGGCACATGGCAGGGTCAGGGTCACTTTGTTGTCCACCAGGACTCCCAGGTCCTTCATTGCGGAGCTGCTCTGCAGCAGGTCAACCCTCAGCCTGGGGTTGCTCCTCCCCAGGTGCAGGACCCTGCACTTGCCTCTGCTGGAMTTCATGARGTTCCTCTCTGCCCACCTCTCCAGCCTGTCTGGGTTTCTCTCAATGACAACACAGCCCTCTGGGGTATCAGTCACTGCTCCCAGCCTTGTATCATTGGCAAACTAGCTGGGGTGCCTTTCTTCCAGGTCGCTGATGAGTAAGTTGAACTTACTCCCGGTCTTGAAGGGCAGTTGCACTCCAGCCTAACCATGGAAAGGGAAAGAGATGCTGTGGTCAGGCAGCCAGCCCTCTGCTCCCCCAGGGCTCTTGCTCAGACACATCAGACATCCCTGTACKGTGCCTGAACAACACTTCCTCTGCCACAGGAAACCTGGGATAGGGAAGCTGTGCAGGCTGTTTTGCTATAGCCTTTGGGAAGAGAGCAGGAGGGTACTTCTGCTGAGGAGTGTTTCCCTGGAGATTGCCGTGTCCGTCACATTTTGTTGGAGCTAGCCCCAACTAGCTACCTGAAACACAGTTCTTCAGGTCGTGGGAAGCATCGTAAAGTCAGCCATACTTTTCCAGGCAGCTCTATTTGAATKAAGGTTTTCATGTCTGCTGACATATGTCATGACGGTGACACATGAGATTGACCTGTATCATTACCTTTTTTTCATGAATGAAGTGCATATCCAAACCCATAGTAGTGATTTTTTTTTTTTTAAAAAAAACCCAAAAACTTCATGTTCCAATGAACAAAATAATCTCTACCTCCTCGTACTGAATTTTCTTTCATCTCCTTCTAAGGAATCCTCTAGGAACATAAATGGATCACTTTGCTCTAATCCAATATTCCCACAGTAGAATATAYATCTCCCTCATATCTGTTGTTTTGTCTGTATTGGATTTTTTTGCTAAATYTGCCAGGACAGCGTACACACATGATGGAGGGAGATGCTTCCATATTGTGTGTATGTGAACAGACACATATTCTTAAATATCCTGTAATTATGAAGCAGAAGGTAAACAGAAAACTACATTTTCGGTACACTAGGACATAGAAGGCTCTGGTTACTGCGGCAYTGTGTGCCCTGCAGCTCTTCCAAATATTTTCCCTTGTGGTTTCACTGCATTTTGTGGGTGTGGAACTGAGACACAGAGTGATTTGCACGAGGTCACTTGAGAAATACATTCGTGGGTAAATATAGGAAGCTCTGCTAAGTGCTCCGAGGCTTCCCTCGTACCTAGCCCAACCAGAAAAGYGCCACATCCAAAAGCTGAAGTTAGYGCACGTCTTCTAGCAGAACTCCCACCCCTATCTATAGACGCTTATGAGAGAAGGTTAATTGAGCAACATATGACATTTTGTTTAAAATGTGCTCTCCACAGGCATGCGGTGTTATGAAAGATATTCATTATAATGTATATYCATGTGGCATCCTCACATACGTTCATGTGCTTATTCCTTAAGCGGCTGCATGCAGTTACAAGGTCAAGCCTAAGTGCGGTTCTGGTCTCCCAGAGCAGCCGGCCTACGCTCTCGCCTTTCCAATGCAGCGGAGCTCGGCCTTGGCTCTCGCAGGTGGTGGGACACTCTTGGAGCAAGGTGGCCCTCCGCAGGCCAACGCTGCTCACAGCAGCTCGCAGGAGCAGCAAACCGGCCAGGGCCCTGCGAGCCGACATCTCTCCCCAAAAGCTCTGCTCATCTTGAACTGATTTGACTGCTTTCAAATCGCACAAATTGGTGATTTGAAACCACGTCCCCCCTAGGAGGACTCCCGCCCCCGGGAGTCGTCAACCAGCCTATTGGGTCTTCACTACTCATGAGACATTTTCAGGTGTACCCAGAATCACAGGCTTTTCTGCTGGTGCCCGTCCCCAAGGTGATCTCCATGCTCTGATGAATGACCACAGTGCTGATGTTGATGCCAAGTGCTGAGTGCCTAATCCAGTCTTGAATCGGCAAAGGCATTGAAAATTGAGATGAAGCAGTCATACAAGAGAGCAAAACTGTTTCTTCCAAGGTACCTCTTTACTACTCTGTCTCCATTGTAACAGTCGGGAGATTTCTTGGTCTAACAGGAGCTGCAATTTGCTTGTCAGGTTCACACAGGGCAGGTTTGCTCACTGATAGAGATGAGAGGTAGAGAGTTACTGTAAAAAAAAAAAAAAAAGTAGGGGCTTGGGATAGCTATAAAAACACATTATGAATTATTTGTGAAATTTTACTATTGTTAGATTTGATTTTGTACTTCCAAATAGAAAAATATTTTCATTTTAAAAATTATTTTTTACCAGCTCCTAGTACACAAGCAATTATAAGTTTGTAACCTAATAGAAATGTAGATAAAAGAAGTAATGCCTGAACTATAAGACTTTTAGGAAAAGGTAAAAATGAAATCTTGTTATAGATGAGAATGTTGTGTATTCTAATACAGTTTTTACTTATCACTAAAAGGACTTTCTTAAGATAAAATAGGCTCTTTGATCACTGGTTATGAGCAATACAAAAAAAAGAGGAAGAAAATGGTATAAATAATAATATTGGACATAAACATGGTCTGAGGTGATAGTTTTCATGCTGTATGTGCTGCTTATGCTGCTTATAATACATGTGCTGCTTCCCCTCAAGCATAAAGGCATTTTTGTTTGGTTCTTTGTTGTCAGCATTGACAGATAATAAACTAACACCTGCCCAATGTAAATAGAGATATGCCAGACTGCAGGAGAATTTTCAGAAGTGCTCAGTCTTCACTGTGTTTACATCATAAAATTCCTGTCATTTTCAATGGAAACTGTTCAGTCAATGGGAATTAAATACCTTTAAATTCCTGCTGGCTAGGCCAAAGTAACCATCATTAAGAGTTAGCAAGGAAAAAAAAAACACAGAACCATTTTTGTTAGAAATGTCAGTTTTTCTGAAATTGGAGTATGTTGACATTTTAAAAATTTAATTTAAAAATCAAAGTCTTCTATTTAAATTATTCTGAATGTAACCTTTTGGTTATTTTATTTTAGCAGTCAAAACTGTATTAAAGGAACACTCTGAAGGTTGTAAAGTCAAGCACACTGAAGGCAGGGGAGGACTCCTGCTTTTTATCACTTATAATACAATTTTGCATTACCTGTTCTGTTGTTTTTCTTGCAGTATCCATGCCTCATCATTGGAGAGCATGGAATTGATTAGGAATTGAATCATGCAGGCTCCTGAAGAAGTCTATGACTCGTTGCTTAAGCTGCAAAACGCAGAGCAGGAAAGACAGGAGTTTGCAGGACTCTAAAAGGGTCATCTAATGGCTAAAGAAGTCTATTTTTTTTCACCCTCTTCTTGGGGTATGATTGACATGTATAAGTTCATGAAGGGGAAATGTAGCAAGGAAGGGGCCAAGCTCTTCTCAGTGGTGGCCAGTGACAAGACAAGGGGCAATGGGTGTAAGTTGAAACACAAGCAGTTCCATCTCCATGTGAGGAGGAACTTCTTCACTGTGAGGGTGCCAGAGCCCTGGCACAGGCTGCCCAGGGAGGCTGTGGAGTCTCCTTCTCTGGAGATCTTCCAAACCCGCCTGGATGCCGCCCTGTGCCCCGTGCTCTGGGTGTCCCTGCTGGAGCAGGGGGTTGGACTGGATGATCTCTAGAGGTCCCTTCCAACCTCAACCATGCTGTGATTCTGTGATTCTGTAAAGAATTGAGCAGAGAGAGGCTCTTGTCCTCGTTTATGTCACTAGTAGACTTCTCTAGACATTACTAGACTCCATTAGCAATCAAGTGCTCCAGATGGAGAAGAATGGGCTTCTCTTTAGCAACAGGAACTGGAGACCAGCAGGAAAATGGTTTTTTTTTTTTTTTTTTTTTTTTTCCCCACAGAGAAAGCAGGGGAACATCCCAATAGGATTAGGTTGTACGTAAGTATGGGGTGGCTATCATTCTGATTGACCTGCTTGGATTTGGGGGGTTGTTCCTTCTCCTCTGCCTGTTAAGAGGCAGGTGATCCCAGAGATAATTCAAAAAAAATCTTCTAAAAAAGGTAGTACATAGAGGATCTGAAACAGATTATGAAGCTTTGGGCAAATATAAAGTGCCAAGTGGAGTTTTTTTTATTTTATGCAGTTGAAGAATTAAGTACCATTTTAAGATGCATGGACATATGTTATAGGCACAGTCTCCATCCTGGAATTTTGAGAAGTTTTTGAATTTGCAATAATTTGCATATTCTATCTCTTTTATAACTTGTGTGCAGTTTTCTTGCATTTAAAACCATACCTAACCTTCTTTTAAGCGTCAGTGTACGCATTGTTCTATATTTAT